AATTTCTAATATTAGAGTCCCAATCTTGTAAATTTTTTTTTCTTTTGCTTCTCTCTTTTTTCTTCTTTCTTTTTTTTTTTTTTTTTTTTTCATTGTAAACTCGTCGATCGATGTACGACAGAGATTGAAATTTTACATAGGTCGACGTTAACCTGAAATCAAACTAGATTATAATAAATTACTTACAAAAAATTTGTCACTTCTCAATAATTCATCGATCGTTACGTCGAATTTATCATGTTCAATGTTTAAACTAATGTTTAAAAATAAGAAAGTAAAATATTTGATATTCCTTTGAAATATTCAAGGGAAGGTTCGAAAAATCTTTGGTATTTCTATATACCTACCCGGGACGAGGTACATCGCATTCCGGATCAAAACGAAAATCTTTAAGGCTTTCTTGTCTCATTTTTCTCGTTCCTTTTCTCTCTCTCTCTCTCTCTCTCTCTCATTCTCTCTTTCTTTTTTTTTCTTTATTTCTTAGGGAAGACGCGAGTCCGTGGTATCTGCTGCTTTGGTCCAGGATAATTATTTATGTCAGATAGGATCTCAACTGGGGTTCTACGTTAGGAAACAAAAGGATCCGGCGATGGGAAGGATAGGAACTAAAGGGAAGAGGATCCTGGGAGGTTGCCGGAGGATCACCGAACTCTATTCTTTTTCCTAAGACGTAAGGAATACACGAAAGAAGAGGAGAACTGACAAGGACCTTGATGAAATGAAGGGTCGACTCGAAAGACCAAAGATCCTTGAAAATATATACTATATATATATATATATATATATATATATATATAGTATATATACACATAAGATATATACTTTCTTTTTTCAGTAGTAGCAATGACAAACTCGACGAAAGATCGAAAACGTAATTAATTAGCTCCCCACTGAAGTCGCTGAATTAACGACCTACTTATTTGCGTGCGACGTTATTAATATTATTAAATTCGTCCGAGAACAGCGGGTATAGAAAAGACATAAAGTATTATTTTTGAGACGTACTGTTTTGTGTTGTGTGTAGGTTGTACGATGTAAACAAGACTTGAGGGAGAAAGAGTTTCTCCCTCGTTTCGACGGGCTATAAAACCGTCAATGAATAAACCTGTTGATAAATATTATACTTACGACTTATACTTGTTATAAACAATGTTCCTGCAAACGAGCTCGATAATTGAGTCAGCCTTTCCGCGTATATAATATATATATACATATATATATATATACACATATATAATATAATGGTATAATCTCATAATATGGAATTATGCACGAGCATAATACGTCGCTTCGTTAATAGCATCTTGTAAGCAGTAAGAGAAATAGATAAGCTATTTTTATAGCCTAAAACTATTCTCGAATTATTCAACTCTTATTTTCGTATCTTAATAATCCTTAGTAATCTCTTTTCTTCGAGAAGATTCAGATAAGAATACTCAGACCGTGACGCGAGTAAACGATGAATATTTTTCTAACGTGATATTTAATGTCGTAAGGGAAAAAAGAAAATGATCTAGACACGCGATCTCGATATACCTATGTATACTGTATATACTCTTTGATACTACTGGAAAATCTAGTCTTTCCAGTGTCGATACTTGGCGCCAGTTAACAGATAGCCAATGTTAATCTCGACTGGATTATTATAGTCTAATTGTAAAGTATATAAGTACTTGTATATATATATATATATATATAGCCGATAGAAACACTTATATAATTTCTTAATAGATTTTTTTATTGGTTAGAATTCTAAGAAAAATTCGCTCATGACTAGAAAGTGAAGAGATTACATCGATCGAAAGATGATAAAAAATGATAAAACGTAAATCTTGAGAAAGGAAAGAGAAAACAATACTATATGTAACGTAAAAGCATAAAAGAGGTTTCATCCTTCGAATCTTTCGGTTTTCGGACAAAAGAAAGCGGTACTCGAGAAGGTAACGAAAAGAGGGAGGTCCTGCCGTTCACAGCGTGTGGCGTTGTATCCTTTGCTTGTAAAACAACTTGTAAAACGTGACTCCAAGACGCGTCCTGTCAACTCTGCTTTCGTAGCGGCGCTTATCTCGACGGCAAATCTATTGGTTTGTTGTTGGAAAAAATGCTCGAACTCGAAGGAGAAAGGACGTCTACTCGTTTTTCGATCGTTAGAATGATTTCATGGCAGCTGATAGATAAAACGTTCACCGACGTAAATATATACAATATACATAGGTATCAACTATTGTAACGTATGAATAAAATAAGAATAATGGCGAAGACATTTGTTTTGTTTTTTTAATATTTGTTTAAAAAGCATTTAATTTCGTTCTATTCGTTTATCGTCTTTCGAATTAATCCTCCAGCAGCGGGCGATTTTCATATTTTTTGTTTTTTTGATTTTTGTACAAAATCGAAAGCGAAATGTATATCTCGTATAGATTTGTATATGATATATGTATGTGTATATATGTATGTACATGATATATATTTCATAGAAGTAATACATTTCTTGGAAACACAGTTGACTAAATCCTTCTTATATCAATATAATAAAATTTTTATATTATCTTCTCATATCAGCATAATAAAATTTATTCGATGGGTAAATAATGTTTTCCGTTGTACAAATATTTAAAAAAATTCAATGCAACGTAATAATAGCCTATTACCGACAAAATTTACAAAATATGTAAAATGCGATTTCGGCGTCGCCCACCGTTGGAGAAACTTAAAAGGGAATTTTTTTATTTTTTCCATTTACTAGTAAATACTTTTCATTCTTGACTCTTCAACAACACTTTTTTTTTACCGTTCAACTCAGAAAATAAAATCCATTTATATTCAGAGAGAAATATATCAATTTTTTTCTTTCAATAAGATGTAACAATATTTGTAAAAATATTTTATTAATTTTGTTCTATTCATCATTGTTTTTCTTAATTAAATAAGAGAATCTTCCCTGTTTGTTAGTAATAATTATTTTCTTGAATCTTTTCCGGTACTTTTCTCAATAGTTTCTTACTGTTTATCTTAGAAAATAAATTTTCTTTATATCTAGAGAGAAACGGTTAACAAGCTAGACATATAGGAAGAGAAAAGTAGAGAAATAGAATATCTTCGTATGCTTTTCGGATGGAAGAGTAAGATAAGACACGACTTCGAATAAAGTACGTCGAGTAAATTAAGCGGGTGACGCGAGTATCCTTTTGTTGATCTATCAATCTCTTGGAACAAGTCTGTTCTACGTAATAAAAAAAAGGACTGATGATTGGTTGGTTTGTTGCTTTACAAGTTTACGTGGTCAACTAAAGTTGCGCGGCCCTGTAGTCACGAACAGAAACAGGCCTCACCACTACTACTACTATTACGACTACTACTACTACTACTATCAACGACCGTAGTATTTTTACCCGACGACTTTTTGACCGTGCTTACAAACGCTTTGATGATTATCTGTCGAGTCTGGTGCATTATCGTCCTACCTTGAGGTCAGACTGAGGCCACTCGAGGGGCAGAGCGCGTGAACTTACCTGTAACAAAAAAAAACAAAAAAAGAAAAACGTTAGTGAGAGAATGAAGAAAAATAATAGTTTGTGAATATTTTAGTTTAATTTAAATATTTATTAATATTATGAGAGAAAAATAAAATAGTGTATAGAACGTCCTTTTGTATAATATTTTTCGTAAGTTTTGTAAAGAAAAAAAAAAAAAAAAAAAAGAAAAAATAAAATTTAGTGTAATATTTTTTTTTAAATAAGAACTTACATTTGTTATTTTATATAAATGAAGTTATTAATATAGTTTTAGAATATAACAGAAGAAATTGTAGAAATTAATATTATTTGAATATTTCAAGATAACATACGTTACTTAAAATAATATACTAATCATTAATATATTATCTTAAAATCGTAACACAATATTATTCATATATTAATCATTAATATCATTTTCATCTTTTAATATAATATCATATAAATATATATTAATCATTGATATTGTGTATAATATTTTAATAGAATATTATACATATATATTAATAATAAATATTGTGTAATATATTATTGATTATTATTATTGGAATATTAATTAATATATATACAATTTTTATATCGAACTTAGTATTTTGCGTAATGTAAAAAATTCGCAGCACGAATAAACGATTTAGTAGAAATTTGAAAAAGATTTTTATAGTAGATAGTTTCGAGAAGTTAAATCCGGTATAGTGCGAAGGACGTTAACGGTAATCGAGCTCCTTAAAGACCTCCGGCAGCGGTCGTTTTATCGGTTGCTCGAGAGTAAAATATTCCGACAGGCTCATTTCAGCCAGTGCCTCGTTCCGCGTCCTTGCTATCTCCTCTCGCTAATGGATCCTTCTACTCCTCGATGAGAACTCCTTTATATATATATATTTTTTTTCTCTCTTTCTTTTTTTCTTCTTTTTACAAGACCATTCGACTACAAAAACGTTACAACGAAAATTTAAACTATGACGTGGACACATGTAGATCAAACAAATTGTGAATCTGTTGAATATACATTCGATTCGATTTATTTTGTAGAGGAATTCCCTCGTTGAGAAATACGAGAAAAATAAAGAGAAATTCGATTAAACTACTAATAATCATGAATGACCCGAAGTCCGTACACATCATTCGTGTGAATAGGTTATCGCTTTTAATCCTATATGCAATTGCTGATTATTAAAATGATTCCATAAAGTTCTATTATTTCTTTTGATCATTTTTCTAGCTCGTGACACTTGTATGCAGAAATAAAATTTTAAATTACGTTTTTATTGAATGTCCGTTGAACGTATATTATTATTATATTTACAACATTATCAGCTTTTGATGAATCGTTTGATTAATTAGCTTTCCTATGAAAATGAACTTTATGTATGTAAAAAATGATTTAATAACTTGGGAATGTTTTATCTTCAACTGAGGAAAATCCGCTATTTATCTTCTTCATAAAATCGGGTATTCCCAATATTTCTGCTATATAATGAACAACTAATCGAGGAAATTATCAAGTTTGATTACAGCAATCGTCGAGTATCGATCTTCTAATAATTAAAATTTCAAACGTTTAGTCAAAGATGAAGATTTACGTTCTCGTGTCTCTAGTGCTTGTTGGAGTGGTAGCTATCTCTGCTGCACCATCCGAATCAAGATATCGTAAGTAAAATACTTAATCAAATTATATAAAAGGAAAAAAAAAAAGAAGAAATGTTCGACTATGAAACATTATTTAATGTTATTTTAATGATTAGCTAAAGTTGAGCTATTTGAAGACATTGCCGAAGTGTCAGAAGAACGTGCTACTAGACAGAGAAGAGTAACCTGTGACCTTTTATCTGCCGGTGGTTTCGTTGGTGACACTGCCTGTGCTGCCAATTGTTTAAGTATGGGTAAAGCAGGTGGACATTGTAATGGCAGCGGTGTTTGTGTCTGTCGACAGTAAGTTATTTATCGTTTTGCTTTTTAACATGTTTGCTGTTCGATACGTATCAGTATAAAGCTATATATATACATGTATGTGTGTGTGTATCTATCTCATTGTTTTGTTTATAAACATTATGCATCATTTACGTTGTTATATGACAGTTCTAACATACCATATGTAAGACAAATATGATTTAGTTGACGAAGAATTATTTTGATTTATGTATATGTTTCTTATCGAACAGTAAACGTATCTCTTTCTACAAAGCTTTAAAATAATATCAAAATATAATTATTAAAAATTCAATTCTCTAAATTGTTCGATTCAATCCTTTTTCAGAGATTCTATCAAAGATTTATTCAACAAACGTTTTGGCTAATGTTAACGAAAAGAAAAAACAACATTATTATCAACGAAATGATTACTATTTATAAAACGAATTATACTATTTTATAACATTAATTTTTGTACGTACAAGATAATAAAACAGTTATTGTAATAGAAAAAACGTCGTTAAATTCAATCATTGGAAACGAAGGAAAGAATTTGAGGAGGCCTTTTTGAACCCGCTTTATTAAATAAAAATGTTAATATTCGTGTTATAGAAAAATACAAATATTCAAGATTCTCTTCTAGAAAGGAATTTATTGAATTTAAAACATATATATATATATATATATATATATATATATATATACATAAAAAAGATCAATTTGTCCTTAAGAAAGAATCTTTTTTATTCTCACAATTAAACAGAGACAGAGACATTTTTGAGAAGTCTTTTCGTTTCGATATCAACAAGGACCGGTCGACGACCATTAATCGTTAAGAACATACCGAGTGTACCTATCTCTTGTCTTTCTCGTAAAGAGTATCGAAGCTTTTTCCCTTTCCACAGCTTCTTCCTTTTCTCCTGTCTGTTCCTCTCTCTCTTTTTCTCTTTCTTTCTTTCTCTTTCTCTCTTCTTCTCTCTCTCTCTATCACCTTCTCGTAAAGTGCACTCAGCTTGGAGATCGAGACGCGGAGTTATAATTGCCTACTCGGCGAGTCCGACATTCCTCGTGCGTTAAAGTTATCGCGGCTGGATCGCCGTACTCGTTCTCTCTCTCTCTCTCTCTCTCTCTCTCTCTCTCTCTCGCCATGATATTTCTTTTCTTTCCTTTTTCTTTTTTTCTTCTCTCCTTCTTCTTCTCTTTCTCCTCCTCCATCTCCTTTTCTTCTTCTCTGATAGCAGAAGGTATACCTCCAACCTCTTTGACTCTCAAGAAAAAAGAAAAAGGTATATCGAAGATATCTCGCAAGATCTCTATCACCGAGTAGTAATACCTTTCTCTTTGATACAACCCTATAGAAAACGACTAACGAACCCATCGTATCATTTTTGCATTATTATTGTATATCCCTTAAGTATAAAACCATTTTTGGTTAACCGAACGAATGGCGAATCGAAAATATTTCAATTCAATCGTTACTTTTCTTTCATGATCTTTTCAATATATATATATATATATATATATATATATATATATATATATTCTATAGTAACGCAACGCCGAGGTATGGTCACGTCGGCTTGCCTCTAATTAGAATAATTAACAAAGCCGTTCTTGGTCCTCTTTTTCTTTCCTTTCGTCGACGATATTTACAACAGTTAAGAGTGTTCGTTCATATCGACACGCTCGTCTGAAACGAAAATGACTTTGAAAGAGAATAATGGGGTGAAGGGTGAGAGGAAAGAAAAAGAGAAGAAATCTTTAAGGATAGAGGAAAAAGGAGAAGAGAGAAGAGAGAAGAAGAAAGGGAATCGGTGTCGAGGGACGAATGGTACCGCATTCTGCCGTCATGTCGCATGCAAATACGACGTCCTGAGAACGCTTCGTTCCGGGTGGCACGCACAACTGTATTCTTGTCTCCCTCTCTCTCTTTCTCTTTCTCTCTCTCTCTCTCTCTCTCTCTCTGTCTCTCTGTCTGTCTATCCGTTTTTCTTTCTCGTTTTCTCTTCCACCGTCTAGTCGAGAGGGTAATTAATTTCGAATGCTAACCGCTTCTTCCTCTCTTCTTTCTTTTCTTCTTTCGCGGAAGAACTCGGCGAAGACCAAGCGAACGGTGTCACCGTCCCTTTTTCAAGAACTTCATTCATTCGACGCGTTCGACGTTCTTTCCATTCTCTCGCAACGAACGAGTAATTCGCTTCGCGACTCGTTCCGAAAGCACCAAGTGCGAAGTGTCACGAATAACTGATTTGTGAGAGTCTCTTGGAAATCTGTTTTTCTTGTTCTTAGAAATTATGTTTACATTGATATTGGTTATTAGTCTCTTTGTGATTAATTTAGATGGATTGTATTTAACAATGATATATTTCAATGATAACTAAAGAAGATTAAAATAATGCCTATAATTCATATAATTAAAGAGAATTTATATTATTTTATTGTTTCGATAGATAAATAATGAATCAAATTATTTTTAAAAGTTTTGAAAATTATTTTTATTTTCTTATAAATAATTATTTTCTCTTGTTAATTAAGAATTTTACATTAAAAAAAATAAGTACTTCGATGTTTCAATGATAACAAAAGGAAATGAAAATAGAGAAATAATTACATTTTGAAAAATATCCAGAACAGGAACTTATATAACAGCTGTTTACATTTCGATGGATAAACCAAAACTGACGACGATCGTGTCATCTATGAGTATGCTAACCTTCGGAGAATTAAAACAAATTTGTTTACGATTCATTAACTCTGTTATCATTGATGATACGATACGAAATTTAAATTGATGAATAAAATGAGTTTAAATAATCTTATCGTTCCAGTAGGTAACAAAGAACATTTTCAAATGATTAACAATATTAATTATACTGCTCATTATAGATTATTTATTCATATTATTAACTCATTAACGAGCAAACTTGAAACGTTCGCGAAATCTACCTTCCTTAATCGCGATAGCAAAGAGAGTTCATTGGTTAATATTCGAGCCAGATATAATATATTGGATGAGTCAGCCATTGTTATCGAGAAAAGCAAAGATCATGTTCATTATTTCCATCATTCCCCTTATTAGTATTTTTCGAAAAATACAAATAAAATGTACGATTATTTTTTATCTTGGACCTTGACAGATGTCAAGAGAATCGACGTTTGATCTCAATATTATCGACAAATGTCGAGATACAAATCTGATCCACATCCCTCGTAAAAGACATAAGAGATATAAGATCAATGTTATGAACTCGATGATACGATTGAAATTTTTAATGAGCATAGTCCGTGTACATTAATTAAAATTCCGTTGAGTTCGAGTCTTTTACCAATGGCCAAGCATCGTTAGTTGCATTGTAACGTAGCAAGAGAATATAGATAAATATATTCTTCGATAGAGATTAGTTCGCTTCAACGAAGCCGAAGCTTCGTAGAAAATACTAATTTACATAGTATAGTATGTCTATGTGTCTATATGTGTGAATATGTCGAATAGATCGAAATATGTTCTCCTTGTGATCTCGAGTAGCGTGCTTACCAAGCGATTTAGACGCACCTTTAATGTTTTCGTTCGAACGTTTTAAAACATAGCCCACACGTTCGTTCTCCTGTACTTCGAGACCAATCGAAAGAGGAAAACATAAATAAAGAGTTAGGCCGTATGTATGTGTATAATACAGAATTGCTAAGGCTTACGTGACCCAGTAGCGATATATCGATAGTCGGAAAGCGTACGGTGTATTACTTCGACGTACAACGCGACATTTGTTTCTCCTATCGTTGATTTGCGTCCGACGTAAGACCGAACAACGAAACGATATGTGACTCACGTTCGTTTGGAAGTATTAACGAAGAGAATCGCTTGTTATATATTTTTTTTCCTATATTTTCTTTTTTTCTTTTTAGATGAAACATGATAATTGTATATGGGGAAATTATTTATTAGAAAATAGCGATAACCAGATAAAGGTTCATTAATGTTTATTTACACACTCACATATCATTTAGCCTAATTCTATATTTGTATTTCTTTTTTATTATTACTTTAATAATTTAATGTCTTAAGAAAACTTATACTTATTAATACTTGAACGAGGACGAGAATTTTTTTAGATTTAACGGTCTCGACCGTTTACCTTTTTAACCTTTCTTTTTTTTTTCACTTTTGCGAGCCGACTATGTTTTTGGTCAAACATTATAGCTATGTATGGAATATAAATAATTACACGATGGTTCATTTGTGCTTCAATGTTACTTATTTACATACCCGTATACCGTACATACATACATGTATCGTTTTGTTTAAATATTCCTTTTTTTTTTTTGTATTATTGTAATAATTTAAAATCTCAACACAGAAATTTGAATATGCTCGAGCGAACACGAAAAATTTCCAAGAGATTTAATATCTCTAGAGCGATTTTTTTCCTTGTCTTTCTTTTGAAAAAGAAGTCTAGAATTTTAGAAGAAAGAGTCCAGTTGAAAATTTAAAAACTGGTTCGGAGATCGAGAAGGGATAAGGAAAGTTTCAGACCGTTTTAAGAACTACGAGAAAGAGAGAGAGAGAGAGAGAGAGAGAGAGAGAGAGAGCTTTCGTGCATCGTGGCGTTACTCGTCCAAAAGCTGTTGGTTTTCTCTCTCGCTCTCTTTCTTCTCTCCTTTTTTAACTCTCTCTCTCTCTCTCTCTCTCTCTTAGGATCGTACGGTGTGCGCTCGCGCACTCACGAGAGCACGGTAATCCTATACGTCTCTTGAGAAACTGGTTTCCGCACGACGTGTTGCGGGTAGCGCGCAAAACAAATTAATAACAAGAACATCATAACCGCTGCGCCAAGGCTGCCCGAGAGAGAAGGCTGGTGGTCAGTCGTGCGAGTTTATACTATAGCCTTATTGCTTGATTTTTCTTTTTTTTTTTTCCTTTTTCTCTCCCTTTGACTCGAAAATTCATTTCCGAAAAAAATTAGATATATGACGAAGAATGATTGTATGCTGTTAGACAGATGAGAGACAGATCGCATGATAGATCAAAAAATTAAGGGTATTGAATTAGACGAAGAAAAAAATAAATAGAAAAAAAAAGTATGCGTGTGATAATGAATGAGAGAGAGAAAGAGAAAAATTGAAGAGAGAAAATGAAGAATGAATAATGAATAAATATCGATGATTGATCTAAACTATCCACTTTCAAAAAATCATTAAATAAATGACTCTTTGAAGAAGTATCAAAAAAGAAAAAAAAATATCACTAGTCGAGAAATTTTGTTACAAGAAAGCGAAACGATTTTCCGAAGGTTCTACGAAATTTCGACGAACTAAAAGGAACAAAACGTAGGAGTCATGACAAAGAGATGTAAAAACGAAACAAGTAAATCCATTTGAAAAATGTTAGTCTCCATTGGCAAGGGTTCCCTTTCTCTTTCTCTTTTTTTCACTTTTTTATTTCTCTCTTAAAGAGCCGAGACATTAAGGAAAGTTAGAGCTATGTTGAAGGTGTGACTAATTAGCG